CCGCGAACGCGACGAAAAAATTTTACTCGTCATAAAACGATAAATAGTTTGTCAAATTTTTATTCATAAAAATGCAGTTTCAACTGCTTTTTATTTTATAAAATCCGTCTTCTTGCGCCACCAGAGGGCCTTTTAAACAATAGGTAGTCTGTTGGCGCTGGTCAGTAGTAGTCCAAATTCAATACAAACATTTGTTTCTTGAAAATTTGATCACGATTTAAATACAGTATTTACTTTTAATATTACCGATATGCCATCGAAACGAAAACGTGCTGTATTAACATTAAAAGACAAATTAAAGTATTTGTTTCGATTATCCGAATTTTTCCTTATCCGGACTACCTTCATCCCCAATTAGTCGAATAATCGAGGTTCTACTGTATATATAATATCGTTTAATTAATTCTTATTATAATATTTTTTACTCAAAAACAATTTAATATAAAACTTTCTTGTAATATTATTAAAGAAACATAGTTTATGCATCGTTTCTATGAACTTTTCTTATAAGTAATGTTATGTTTAATTCAAATGGCAGCGAAATTAATTATTAATAATCATTCAGAAGTAATGAGTTATTTAGTAACAAGGAAGGAATTTGTTTCTAGAATAATACATAATCTGCTTTAATTTAGGCCTGTAATGTAGACAATGACTAGCAATTACATTTAAAATTAATTTTAATTTATATCAGAGATAAGATTTTTATGAAGCAAAGATAATTTTTCTTCTTTTTTTTTATTATTAAAGCATTAGTTATTATTCTAAAGTTTATAAGTAAAATTTTTAAAAAGTTGTCTTCAACAATTTGAATAATTAGCATTTAAATTTTTGAATAATCAATTGTTAAAATTATATATAAAATAAAAATTATAATTCTAAACAGCCTATTTACAAGAACTAGATATTGAATATCAATTTTCAGACTTTGCATCTAAAAACTGAGTTTGAATAGAATAGCTTTACGAAAAATGCAATGCATTGTTTGAACTAAAATACATTTTGACTAGGTTGCATGCAAGGGGCTATCCATGAATTACGACCACATTTTCCTTGAAATTTTTACTCCCCCTCTCGTCCCAGTTTTTCAAAGTTTCCGTAACCCCCTCCCCTCTTCGGACGCCCAACAAAACTCAATCCCCCTTAAAACCTTTATCACTTTATGAATGATAGATACCATACGTAGAAACAAAACACAAATAAATTTTGAATATAATAAAATGCATAAAACCATAAAATTTAATGAATTAAATGAACGTTCACTGATGCTCAACCTCTCCCATCTCCCTTGTCCGACTTGTCATACCCCCCCTTCCAGTATGGATGTCATTTACGGACACATCCCTAATTATATATTATTTAGAGTCTCTATTTTTTTAACTTAACCGTAAAAAATAATAAAATATTTAGGAAATTGAATAATTTACTAAATTAAAAATATTAAGTGTCCATAATCCCAAGTGATTTATAGCTCTGCATTTATATATTATAATAGTTTGTGCGAAGGAAAAAAATGCAACTCGAAATATTTGAAGCAGCAGATCATTAAAATTCATCAAATCATCAGACCGGAGGAGAGTCTGAAGCAGCAACTTAAGGGCAATTGGCTAAACACGTGCAGGTGGTTGACGCACGATGTCACCTGCTCTAACGGCCCTTACAAAAGGACAGATGGTATACGAGCTTGTTTACTTCCTTAACTGGAAAACATTCTGAAAATATGGCACGACTTTTTACATGCTATTTATGCCATCAAGCCAGACTTGATAATTCTTCAAGTTATTTTAACAGTGTATAATTTTAAGTGAACAATATATGAAATTTTATTCATTCGTATATATTTTTATAGTAAACTTTAAATTCTTTTTATTGGTATATAATTATAATAAATATAACTAATATAATAAACTGGAAAATATTTCGATGGCAAAAAAAACATCTGTAATAACATAAAAACTGCAATCCTATGTTAACGAATATGCAACATAAGGAACAAGCAATAGCAGCAGTAGCAAATACCAACAGTCAAGGTCATTGATCACGTCTTTCTCCTAAATATTTTCAATATGTTGTTATAATTCCAAATTCGCGTTTTCACTTTTATAACAAATATATTAAAATATCTTAAACTAACTTTATGCTTCAACGTATATTTAAACAATACAAAACAAAATGTAACTGATTCTATCATTAAGAAATCAATACATCAAAAATTATAGATCAATTTTACGCAATAAACAATTAATTAATTAATCAAAGTTGAAATATTCTTTTATGGCTTTTAAATCATATGTAAACTTTATATTCTATTTAAAAAATAATAAAATCTGATCAATTTTAAAACAAATTTAAAAACTTATTGATCAGTAAAAATATTTTAAACAATATTTGCAAAATAATGATCATTTAATTTATTCTTCATGTAATCACTGCATAGTTTATATACTGATTGCAAATTATTTTTTATTCCAGCAAAAATTAAATAGATCATGCTCTGAAGAGATTCAAGTTTTCAAACATTACAAAGATCATTAAACCTGAAAATTTTTGTAACATTAAAAATATGGTAAGCATTGGTAAGTTTTTTTATGAAGAAGTAATATTGCCTAATACTCATGTTTGATATTTTTATGAAAAAAATTATAAACAAAATTAAATAATCAATTTTATGAATTAAAATTAATTTACATAGATATTTAAATTTTTCTCAATAGTTTCAAGATTTTATGAAGCTTCTAGATCAACAGTGGTGAATCTATGCTCCTTGAAATACAGTGACCTACACAATGATTTCAAGGTATATTAAATGTTTAGAAAGTTTTAAGTTTTTTCTAATTATAAAAAGTATTTGATAAATTTCAAAATTTTGCATATGTAGTGTGAAAGTAGGGAAAGTTGTAAAAAGTCTTAAAAGCAACAAATTATGAACATCAGACTGAAAAATAATCATCAAATAAACAATAATTTCCCATTAAATACTTGTTTTGTAATGAAATTTGCGATTATAATGAAAATAATCGCAAATTAATCGCAATAAGTGATTAATTTAATTAATTAATTAATCACTTTAATTAATAAAAATATCGCAATTAATAAAAATAATCGCAAATAAGTGAAAATAAAATATGTGATTATTTACATATTTATTTTCACTTATATAGTTATTTATTAGTTATATACTGTAGTTATATATTGTTATTTTTGTGATCTAGATTAAGAAGTTAGAGTAAAATTTGTAAGCATTTTTTTTAATACTTTTTTAATTAATTACTCAAATATTTGACCCACAACTAGGTTCACCATAAATATTCTAAACCAGCCATACTCAACCTGTGATCCATCAAGCTTCTATGTGCAGCCTGTAATATTCACACTCATGAAGTACTTTTTTAAATTTCTATTGATTGGATAAAAGTTTTAAAACCTTAAAAGCCCTGGTCACACTATACGATTTCTAGCCGCACAGGTGACTGCAACTGCAACTGCAACAAGCGCAAGTCGTGTGCGTCTTCTCATGGTCACACATTGTTCGTTGATGTTGCAACTGGGAAACACGTGACCCTATAATAAACCAATAAAATTACAGTAGCTTGTTTTTGACTACTTTTGTGAGTTTGCTGATATTTTACATTCTACTTCAGAGTATTTATGGAATTTTAGTCACTTTTCTTATTAAAATAGCAAGCAGTTTCTTCTCTGGAATGAATAAAAGAAAAAAAGGTGATTATTTTGATAGAGCTGGAGCGAATACACGAAAAGATAAAATCTTCGATAAAATGAAGAATTAAAATCCCACAGGTATTCGTGAGCCTGAATAAGCTCGATCAATCTCGATTCTGTAAAAGTATTAATCCTCTAACTATCTGCCATGATGATGAACTATTTTCAATGTTGTCACTGTATGACATGGCACAAAGGCATTTGTTGATTGGATGCACGTTTGCAATCGTCGCGAGTAGAACAAACTTTTTGTTTCTAGTTGCAGTTGCAGTCGCGCCGGTTTTCAAGGAAGGATTACTAGTTAATGGAACAGCCATCGCGGTTGCAGTCGCATGCGCGGCTGGAAATCGCATAGTGTGACCAGGGCTTAAGATGCAGGCAACACGACCAGTTGGTATGCACATGCACAGTGCTCTTGGACCTATTGTTTGTTTTATTTATGTAACAACTTCATACAGTTTTGTTTCTTGTAATGTTAAATGTCAGCTACACTGAACTGATGCTGGTAACTGTTTTAATCTGTATTGTTTGTATGTCAAAAATAATTTGATTACCTACAATGATAAATGTATCTTCAAAATACAAACAAAAATATCCAAAGAAAATAGTGTTTCAAGACAACTGGGAAGAAGTATATTTTGTTGTACCAAATAAACACAGTTCAGCAACTTGTTTAAAAATATATAATGTAGATTGTCATTATACCAAGAAACACAAATCATTTAATGATGATTTTCCTGGTGTGTCTTTAATCAGATATTAACTTTCTTTAAGAAGTCATTGCAATAACAACAAAGTGTTATTTCAGTGGCATTATAACAAAATGCAGTGATGACAAGATCATATGAAATTTGTTACATATTTGGTAAACATTTGAAACCATATACAGTGGTGCCTCGTATAACATACGCCTCGAATAACGGATGCTGTGAACAACGGACTTTCTGTTTGGCCGTTACGTGATTCCAGCAACGGACTGGCTGCAAACATTTTTTTTTTTTTTTTTTCATTTGTTAATCATCATTTCCCCTACTGGGGATCAGCATCACCCTTGCCCCGCTATCTGCACCACAAGGGAGACTTTACTTTTATTCATTAATCTTTAAACCGTGTTACATTAAACAATATAAAAAAGTTTGTATAAGACTTTTATACAATAGGCTACTTGCCTTAGAATTTATCATTTGACAATCATTGGGGTACAACTCGCACCCCTTTAATTCACGACAATAACTTTCGCGTGAAGGACTTCAATTCACCCACAAGGTCTTTCTGTCGTAATACCATGTAAAAGTCAATACCATTAGTTTGAAATGTCTGATTAGATAACAGTCTAAGCTGCATCCTATCTTGTTCATGTTTAAGACAGTCATCTAGAAGATGCTGTAGGTTGTGATCACCATTCTTGCAGTCACAGGAGATATCTTGTGTTCTGTTGACTCTTCTAAGATATTCTTTTGTCATGCAATGATTCGTAAGTAGTTGTGTCATGTAATAATCGGGTCTGAGCCATCTAAGCTCGTACATTCGTTCCTCAACACTTGGAAGCAGCCAGAAAGTGTGTCTTCCCTTGCTGCCGTTACTCCACTCATCCTGCCACTCATTAATAGTTAGTTGTCTTAATTGTCTTTTAATGTAGGATACTGGGATTCTATTATATGATATATCAGCCAGATTTGTAGCTGCTTTAGCAAGTGCATCTGCGCCTTCATTGCCGCTTATGCCGCAATGGGCCTTAACCCACTGGAACCTTACAGACATTTTACTATTCGTTATTAGAGTCTTGATATCAAGTGCTAATTGGCTTGTGTCATTAAACTGTTGCAGGGTCTGCAAGGCAGCCCTACTGTCCGTTAAAATCTTAACTCGGTCCAAACGTAGCGTATTAATGCACCATTTGATTGCACCCAGAATGGCCAGCAGCTCGGCCTGAAAAACCGAGCAGTGATCTCCTAGCCTTAGCTGTTGTTGATAGATGATTGCCTGATTCTCCTTNAAGAAACAAGCTGCCAAAAAACAAAGGATGGAACAAGAGGAGATGACCCTGCGAGCTCCGGTAGCCTCTCCTGAATCTGACTCTGATTAAAAAACGATAAAAAAAGACCTGCTGCAATGTGTAAAAAGTCTGTATCTGTATGAATGTGTAAAGAAAGTGTTCCTCCACCTCCTCCTCACAGCATCTGACTACCTGGCATAATTGGCAATGGCTCCATTTTCATTTTTTATGGTACAGTACAGTTATTTTATGCTGCAGAATGAATTATATGTTTTAACATGTATTTCTATGGGAAAATGCGTTTCATATAATGGACTTTTCACTTAATGGACGTGCACCTGGAACGGATTAAGTACGCTATACGAGTCACCACTGTATTGATGCAGGGGTTGTGAAGGAATGTTTCGTCAATGCTTCCAATGTATTATTTAATAATTTTAGTAATAAAAATCAAATATCAACTAATCAAATTTAAAAAAATGCATCTTTCTGATTTTACTGGCATTAGACATACTGAAGATATTGCAAAACACATTTCTAATCACATCTTAGATTTGAAATATTTAATATTAAATATTTTAGCTTAGCTTTTGATTCTAGCACCATTATTTCAGCAACATCACAATGTTTTGTTTTCATTAGATACTGTACTGAACAGAATTTATGTAGATTTAAAAAATTTTTTTCCTATGAAGAATCAAACCAGAGGCATAGATTATCTTGATATTATTAGTATTTTCTAGTGAAAAATAATACTGATTAATATAAAAAAAATTAGTTTTTGTGTGCAATGATGGATGTCCTTTAATGACTGAATCCGAAAAAGAATTTGTTTTCCCATTTAAAAGAAATGCAATTTAACAACAGACAACAGAAAAAGATTGAACATGGCTGTTCTAGACTAAGGCTTCTCAATTATTGATATCAACCTCAGTTGGAGTTGATGAGCAAATTAGAAACATACTGCATATGCATATGAAATATAATATTTTAATATTGTTTAATTATTTAGCAAATACAATCATTTAAAGCCATTAAAATATTTTTACTATAATTTTCAAAACTTTCCAAATACCGAAAATTTATTAAAAAAATAATGTATACATTATATATATTTATTTATTTGAAGGGAGTGAAAAAAAAAATTTTTCTTAAAAGAAGTTGATACACGAAAATAGTTGGGAACTCCTGTACTAGACCAAGCTTGCTTAATGTGAGAATTTATGTCCTTAAAAATATTAAATTCTGAATATTTTACTCAAAAATTATTTGTGATATTTGTCAAACAGATATTGGATACAGATAACAAATACCTCTGAACAAACAAATATTGAAAATACTGATATAAAAAAGTTTCTTTTAACTGCTAAGATTTTATGAAAAATAAAAATTAAACTAGTTAAGACAACAAAAATCTAAATTAATTAATTAAACCAAAGATGGAGTTGAGCAGGGCACTGTTCATTTTTAATTTGGATTTGTGACAGTTCATTATTACAATCACAACAGTACAAGTTCAATTCAACCTCTCAAGTGCATGCATGGGAACAATGGCATCTGAAACATGAGACTGGCCACAATATCTCCTGTCAATGCTGACAATTATGTTTTAATTGGATTATTTATATAGATTAATAATTTATTCTTACCATTTTGGAATGACTTATCTTTAAAACAATGCAAGATAGAAAACAAAAATTTTTTTTAAATTCCTTGTATGGAGACTCGTGCGGTTTTATTTACATTCAGTATATATGCTACATAAGCTTCTCTCTGAAAACATCTAATTGATATTCAATCTTCTGCCATACATTTTATAGCAAGTTTCTGGTTAGTTCTAATCACATGTTCAATTCTTCTGCATAATTCAGTGATATATAAGTATGATTCACCAAGCTTAATGTGAGATGCATGTTGTGTTGATTGAATTATGGGTTCAATTCTTTTTCTGGAAAAGAACAATGAATGCAAGCACCTATCAAAATATGATGGAATGCTTTGCTATTCCATAGCTCAATACTCCAAACAAAAGAAATCTTCCAGCGTGATGGCACTTCATTTCACTGGGAATTTGCTGTTCAAAACTTCTGGACCAGATTTTTCTAGACCAAAAAATTGGCCTCCAAAATTGTCAGATATAACCCCACTAGACTTTTACCTGTAAAGTTATGTAAAGGACCTAGTGTACTGTATAATATCATTGAATTACACAGAAGAATTGAACACACTTAAAACTTTAACATCATGTTACAAAACATAACAGGAGATCAAATATCAATTAAATATTTTGAGAGCAAGAGGTGAAGCTCTTGTCAAAGTGTACTAAATTCAAATAAAACTGCATGAGCACCAATACAAAGATAAATTGTTCTGTCTTGCATTGTTTTAATCTAAGGCATTTTGAAATGGTAATAAAAAATTATATATACTTTTGTCTAGCTACTGCTTGCCAAATGAAATAAGCATTAACCTTTTAGCTAATTATAATTTCTGCATAATTATATTATTTTTTATTACACATTAATTATTTATCCTAAATATTTTATTAAAAAATACAATACAACAAAATTAGATGACAACAAAAAAATAAAATTTACTTCAAAATTATTATTATTATTATTATTGTTCTACAGTACTACAGTTTTCCACATACAGTTTACAGAGTTAATGAGAACAGTACATATTTTGCAGATATATATATCTGCAAAATATGTACTTTTATCATTAACTTATACAGGGCGTATCAGAATGACATTTTAAAAATTTGGGGGATTGTAGAGGATGAAATTCTGAACGTTTTGATATAAGGAACCTATAGCCAGAAATGAGATACTGTATAAAGTTTCTACAGCACTTTGCACATTCTATGCGGTCGGTATGCTGAATGAAACAGCAGAATACAGTATTTATGGTATTTATGACAAATTTTATTGACAAAACAGTAGAGTACAATCAAACTGTACATCGAATCAGTGGCTGCACTATTTTAGAATAAATGTTCAATGTGCCAACCACCAACTTCATTACATAATGTGCGACGACGAACCATGTTTTGTCTGACTCTCCGTAAGATGCCACACTCCCCTCTGATGGTATTAAATGCTGTAAAGATGTGCTCCATAAGTTTATGAACTGTTCCTACAAGTGTTATGTGTACAACGGACTCACATTGACTAGCTGTGTGTTTACAGCACAGCGCCAGTGGATGCAAGGGGTGACCTGAAGGACGACAAGAACTAAGTACACAACGTCCTGTACACAGGCTCAGTTACACCACTGTAGTTGTGTGTTTACAGCCTTCCATCCGCAGCAATAACATGACGTCAATGGATGGAAGGGTAGCTACCAAAGTGAAAGGTGGTCAAGCACTTCCTACTGCTGTAGACACTTTAGTTCAAATTTCCGGCTATAGATTCCTTATATCAAAACGTTCAAAATTTCATCCTCTACAATCCCCTAAATTTTTAAAACGTCATTCTGATACACCCTGTATATTATATTATATATATAAATTATAAAATCAAATTATATAAAATAAAATTATATATATTATACATTTTAAAAAGTTTAATTTTTATAAATTAGATAATTATTAAATTTAATATGAGATGGTGCCTCATACCTCCATCTAGATCAAATTAATTAGTAATTAAAATTCTAATTGCCAAAAACTAGCCCAATCTTATATAGCAGTTGTTGTGGCTTCATACTTAAAAAGATTTGTTATAAATATGAATGTTTTAATAATGATAAGATGAAGCATTATATATATATTTGATCTCAATCTTAATCATGTAAAGTCCTGTGAACTTGACTTACTGTAGACTGAGAAAGTGACAAGTTGCCAAAAATGAAGACGTTTACAGTGTTGATGGTAGTCTAAATAGCAGTAATTTCATAAAGGTATTATATGTGCAAATTCATATATATATTAACTATGCATCAGTAATGACTATTTCTATTTGTTATTAAATTTTAATTTTAAAAAAAAAACATTGTCTATTCAGTGGTTACTTTTGAGTTAGTGATACTTGCATGATGGCATTTTGTAGCAGAAACTTGAAAAAAGGGTTATATTCTTTGTTAACATTTGGAATTGATGCTATTATCAAGTGGCACCAGTAAATAATAACTTATTTGATCCTAGTGTTACATTATAGAGATAAAAATTAGATTACATGTATTTCTTGGTGTTTGGACATCATGGTGAATTTTACGAAATGTAAAGTTATCAAAAGTTGAGTTTCCAGAATTCTACTGTATTACATTTCTAATTTCTTTATCATTATACAGGGTGATAACAACACCAAACGATCGCCTAATTTATTGGGCTATAATATGGCTATTTTAAATGATTGGAACTAAGTAATTTGACATTAGAGGTAGGCGTTAGGCGCCATCTCTTAATTAAATTAATAATTAAATAAATAATAATTAAATAAATAAATTTAGAACATTCTGGAATAAAAGAACTGGCCCGGGACGGGGCTTGAACCCGCAACCTCCTCTCGTTGGTTGGAAGA